CCGCTCCGGTCCGTGCCGCGGTGGCCCGACGGCCGTGCCAGCGGACGCTGGGGGCAGGACTGCCGACCTCGATCCCTCTAGAGCTCCGTTCTTCCAGGCGTACCGAGCATGCTCCTCTGTCCGTCACGTCAGTGTTTCATTTTTGGTAGAGCTTTAGGTAACCCTGCTTTAAGGACAGGTTTCTACGTGGTTTTAATATGTTTCGGGGATTCCACAGGTTAAACCCAAATCCGTCAGGTCAAGGCTTTTGGTGGTTTGTTGTTTGTTTCTCTTCTCGTCATCTTCCCTCCTCCTTCCCTGTGCTTCTCCCAAATTAAAGTTGAATTCAAGCGGCAGAAACACATGCCTTACTACTTATGTTGCATATCAGTACTAGAAGTAGTGCTGATAAGAATTATTTGCAAAATTATATATATATATCTATATATCTATATATAAAAGAAAAGGGGGCGGGGTTACTATTCAGTCTATGCTGAATCTATTTTCTTAGCAGTTGCTGTTAGGTCTGACTTGAAACCAAGAACTGTATCGGGTTGTCCCCCCGCAGATCTAACTCGTTCGTTTTAGCCCCTCTTCTGTTGTGTGAATATCAGTATTTAGACACGTTGAAAACTGTTCAGTAGTGTAGAAACCCTAGGTTTGCAAAATGGTATTTGTTGCTGTATAAAGCCCTAGAATTTCAATTTGACTTTGTTTTTAATTTGTTTTACAAATGTATATCAAGAGCTACATGGGGATGAGAGGAATTGGGTTGAGTTCGTAATTTTCCTTTTCATTCCAAGGTATTTTGGATTGGGAGACGTGGAAAGAGGAATTGAGTGCATTTTATTTTTGCACTTTGAAATATTATGAAAAAGTTTCAGTTCCTTCCCTATGTGGAGTTTTTTGGGGTTTTTTCCCCTCTGCTGACAAACGCCTGCATTCTGCTGTCGTTGATGCAAATGTCTGGCCCTGCTAAACCACCTGGGAAGAGGGCAGTTGTTTAAAAAGAAAAAGCAAATATTCTCAAACTAAAATTCAGGTATGTTTTGGGGAAGCCTGGACAACTTCACAGGTTCTTTCCAGCGTCAGGGTAGCTTTTGCTTCGGCTGGCGCTGGAAAAAAGGGGAATGGGAAGAGGGGCAGAAGAATGACAGTTGCCTGTTTTAAAAGCCATGTCAAAACCCTTCTGGATACCGCCAGTTCAGTACAGCAGCTTGGTAACTGGAATTTCAGCACAGCGGATAATGGGAGCCTTAAGTTAAGCCGTAAAATAATGGAGAAGACTTATTTTAAGACGTGGAACTGAAAATAAAAACGAGTCTGCACACACTGCCTTGCAGCGTTGCTCCCTCGGCAGTGCTAGGCAGAATAAAACCCCGCAAATGCCGTCCTGCGTATTTGGGGGAGAATTCTCTCGAAGGCTTCGGAAGCAAACAGAAAATACTGTGTTGGCTGCCGGGATTCACGCCGGGTTTGACATTGTTTTTAGTCTCTGGTTCTTGGAGTGGTGCAGGTGACTCAGCGGCTGCGTTTGTCGCACACGCGTTTCTGCAGAGTTTTAGATTAACGCGTCCGGAAGAGACCCCAGTGCTGCCCGCCTGTTAAGTGCGAGGGCTGTCGTTCCTTCCTGCGTTGTCAGAGCTGCGTATTCGGTTGAGTAGTGTTGAACTGGGGTAGTTACGGTCCCACGCTAGGTTTAGATGTTGTTAAAACACTTGCTGCAGTTTCCCCAGATCTCCTCCCCCCCATCTGCGTGTTCCCCTTCTTGCAGGGAGAAAAAAAACTAAAAAACCAACAAACAAACAGAAAAGCTGAATTAAATGGAATATTCACATAATGGCGTTACGCCCTCAAGGTTAAACTGTTTGGGAATTTTGAAGGAGGGGGGTTTAGACACACTGTTCAGAACAAATCTTTGGTTTATTTCTACTGCTGTCATGTTTGGGATTCCTGCCTCCCTAAGGGCTATTAGTTCTGCCGCAGAGCTGTCCGAAAGCCACCTCCGCAGCCCTCTCTGGAAGGAGACCGCTTCACCCGCGCCGAGAGCCCGAGGTTGCGCCCTTGCCGCCTGCCCCGCGTCGGCGTCGCTCGGGTGCAGTACGCGGCGCCGGGCCCCGGCTCCCCGCCCCTCGCTGCTTCGCTGCATGAGCTGGTTGGACGCTGCTCGGATGCCGCTTGCTTCCCCCTCTCCTGGGGAGAGGGTTAGAGCAGCGTTGGTTCTCGCAAGCCATATAACCTTTCTTGGAGACGTTGCGACTACGAGATTTTATAATACAGTAATAATGAAAATGACTATTGTACTTAGATTTTAGCAACTTGTGAAATAAACCCTGGATTTTCATTTGAAACCCGTTTTGCGGTTTGGGAGCTGTGTGGTTGTGTTTTTTTTAATTTTATTTTTTTATAATTTATTATCTGCTTGGTTTCTGCGCGTCGGCGCGGCCGCAGTCCTTCGCCTAGAACCGCGCGTGGCCGGGTAGAAGCCGTTCTTTTCGCAGCACGCTCGACTTGGCCGGCGGTCCCGGTTTGTGTGAGGGGAGCTCTGCCAACTTCTGTGCTCCGGGGATTCCTGGGAATGGCATTCCAGCTGGGATAGCGCGGAAGACTCTTGGTTAATTGTAAAGTCAAGGTAGTTTGAGGGTGGGTTTTTTTTCTGTAGACACTTCTATCATCGTTTTAGGGAAATGTTCATTTACCTCTCAATTCTCAGACCGCTGTCACTTTTTTTTTTGCTTACTAAGGGGAAAAAAAAAAAATTACCAAAGTGCAGTTGAGAGTGGAAAATAATGAATATATAAATATATATATATAATGCAAAAAGACCTCAAGGAACCGCAGCAGTGTTTGACTACTGAAGGCAGAGTTACGCTGTGTGTTGCATTAGGCGAAATAACTTGCGTTGTGCTTTTTTTAAAACAAGAAAAAAAAGGAATTTATAATCCCCTAACAAAGGAGTGTAACAGAGTAATGTTACACCAGCGCAGGGTATGTTTTCGTCACTCCTATTTATTGTGACTCTAAATCTTTGATAATAAAAGAAAAATTAAAAAAAAAAATCTCACTAAACCCTGATAGTCAGTCTCGGTGGCGGAAGAATCTGAAATCAGTAACTGTATATTGTATTGTGAGGGATTTTTAGTATTTGGATGACAATAAAGCAGTGGACAAACGGTTGGGTCTGCCTCTTCTTTCGGGTGCAGCGTCTGGTGTCGCACCGCTGACGCAGCGGCGGGGATGCTCGAGGTGAGGCTGTGCTCCGCACGGGTTCCTCCCCGACCCAGTGACGGGAGAACGGCAAAGGAAGGAGGAGAGAAGAGAAAGCTGCGTGGAATTTCAGGGATTGTGACTGGAAGCCGCAGACGGATTCAGTGTCCTCGCTGAGGCCGGGCTGGGCTGCGGACAGGGCGCGCACGCTCTCCGGGCGGGAGCGAGATGCGATCGCCTCCGCAGCCCTTCCTCTCACCCTGGAGTTGCTGCGTCTGTCCCTTGGTTACCCAGGGGGGGCTGGGTTTTTGGGTTTTTTGGGGTATTTTTTGATCTGTTGTGTGTGTCCTGTCCTAAGAACTTGCCCTCCCGAGTGAGGAAGGCGGAGAAGAGGAAACCAGCTGCATGCGTTCTGCCTGCGTGCTGCGGAGCTGTGGTCGCTATGCCATTCCAAAACTGGAAATTTAACCCCGTGTTCCTCCTGACGTACCTGAATACCTTCATAAGTTTGGTTCAATACTCCAGGATAACTCAGGAAGCTGCTGGATCGCTGCCCTCTGCGAGGAGAAAGGAGAGACTTCGACTGCAAGCTGCAGCAAGAGCATTGCCAAAATATTTTGGGCCCCGATTCTGGATAAAAGCGAAGGCGCTGGGGCAGCGCTCCGCAGCGTGGGGAAGGCTGCAGGCGCGGGGCATAGCGAGTCCCATCGCGCTGGGTCGCTCCCGGCGCTGGAGGCTCGCCGAAGCCCTGCAGCACGTCTTCCGGCTCACGGCAATCTGCAGCAAAGCGGAGAAACGCGGTTTTGCCGACAGCCCGTGCTCCCAAGCCACCGGTTTGGAGGGCAAGGGGGAAAAGGGACACCCGGCTCCTGCTCTAGAGCGAATCCCAGCTGGAAGGGAAGGAGAAAAGACACGAGCGCGAGCGTTTGGATTGTCAAGGGCAAAACCGCAGCGGCACCTCGGGATTTGTGCACGTGCTGGATCGTGCTGTGGGCATCTGTCGGTGAAAACCTCACTGAGCATCCAGCCTGGTCCTGCCAGAACTCCTCTGGTCGCTGTTCCCAGCCGCGGTCCGCCCTGCCGCTGCCCTGTGGCGAGGAAGAAGCGGTG